AAACCTTTAAAATCGCCAAGAAGCCCAGTCGTCGGAGAAAAAAAAACAAGCAGATTAAGAGAGATAGAGAGGAAGCCTAGTCCCTTTCTGGTTTTGTTATTTTAATTTTTCTTTTAATTTTTTTATAATCCACGTCGGTTGGTGGGGTAAATTAATCGCTAACTCATCTTATTCCGCTAGTTCAGTCATACCGTCAATTGACACCGTTAACAAAATGGATGAAATTGGCTATTTTGTATTTTCGGATAGTTATGGCTATATTTGTCACAAGTGTAAAAGTTATTATTATACAAGTGTATTTTGCCTTTAATTAATAATTTAATTTTTATAAGAGGACACCCTATATGAAATTCTGGTCTTCCCCACTACGTATAGAGCTGTCAAAATGTAACCCGACCCGAGTAACCCGCCCGATCAACCCGACCCGCAACCCACCCGCAACCCGATTTGACTAAAAGTCAATGACCCGTAACCCGACTGACCTGCAACCCGACCAACCCGCAACCCGATCGACCCACAACCCGATGAACCCACAATCCGACCAACCCGCAACCCGACCAACCCGAACCCGTAACCCGACCAACCCGCAGCTCGACTATAATAGAAGGAATTCGATGAAGATAAACCAAAAGTTGACATTTGAAATTCTAGATCACTAAAGTCTGATCATTACATCATCAATTATTGACTTAGTATAATAATATACATCATCAACCTATTAACGCATATAATATCATCAAATATTTATTTAGATACATCATCAACCTAATAGTGCACATAACATTATAAAATATTAATTTAGCATAATAAGATAATTATAAGATTTAAAATCCAAATATCATGGTCCTGTCATAAAAAAGACTAATATTAGTTCACAAAAGTCTGACCATAACAAGAATACATGACTCATAATAGTTCATATTGCACTACAGGAAAACAGGTTTCTACACACGGTATCTTATTCACGGTAATTTTTCCCGTATTAGAAAGTATATTAATAACCACGGGAAAATTTCATGTATTTAGTTGTATGTTTCCAATCACGGGGAATTATTTATCAGTTTTTTAGTCTTCATTTTCCGTGATTAATACTTAGTCACGGTAATTCGTGTGAACTTTTAAGAATTTTTATATAAATTATTTCTTTTAATTTTATGATAGATATATATTTTTTTTTTTTTGCTTAAGATGTATTTTGGTTCCAAAATTGTCATTTTTGGTAGAATTGGCTCCAAATTTTCATTTGCTCCAGCGGCAACGTAACCGCCTCTTTTCTAAAATTTGGGCCGCCAAGCGCAAAAGAGACTTTGGTTCCAAATATTCTTTGGTATTTGGCTCCAAAATTTTCATTTTTGGTAGAATTGGCTCCAAGTTTTTATTTGCTCCAGCGGCAAAATAGCTGCCTCTTTTCAAAAAATTTGGCCACAATGCGCAAAAAAGGAAAAATCTTAGCTCTCAAAGATTTTGGCCCGCAAGCCTCCAAATTCCAAACACACACTCGCTCTTTCTCTCTCTCTTTCTCCCTTCCCTGTACCTATCCTCAACTCACAATGATGATTTTATTGGTCTTGAAGATTTGAGAGTTTTTGGTATTTAAGCTAGTTTAAAAATCTTGTATTAGCATGATGATTTGGATAATTCTAGATGAATTTCAATTTGGCTGGTGTTCATGCTACAAGAAAGATTATTTTCAATTGTGTTGATATTTGTTTTATTGACACTAATCTTATAACTTTGAGTAGTGATTCCTTTTTTTTTTTCAAGTATTGTGCTAGCCTCGTATAGTTACGATTTACGACTTACTAGTAATCACTAAAAACTCACGCGATGTTCTGGTCCGTAAAACCCGCAACCCGAACCACCCGACCCTGCAACCCGATTAACCCACACCCAATTGACCCGTAACCCGATTGGCCCGCAACCCGATTGGCTCGCAACCCGATTGACCCGCGACCCGATTGACCCGTAACCTGAGTAACCCGCAACCCGATCAGCCCGAACCCGATGAACCCAGCCCGAACCCGCCCGATTGACACCTCTAACTGTGAATATGTGAACCCATTAATTTCCTAATGATTAGAGACACTTTAGAGTGCAGAGAATATGTGAAGTTGTGAACCAAAATAAATAGAGTAAATAAAATTTGACGGGTAGGGTTCAAAGACTTTGCCATTTACTTTTGAACTAGTTTTAGTAATGGCTAAACTAGATTCTGTCTATTTACGTAAAGGGATGGTTCCGAGTTTTCTTTAAGGGATGGTTCCGTGTTTTCTTTCCTTTTATGGCCCCTCCCTTCTAAATCTGTTTTTGTATTTTGGTTGTTTATTCCCTTTGCTTTTGTATCTTCCAAATAATGGTTGAACTTATAAATGTGTTGATTATATATACAAACTAACTTTGATATTGAGATGTGATGTCAACTGTATTTTTTGCATAGTGGGTTTAGAGGTTATTAGGGTTAATTATTTTTATTTTATATATTACGTACAATTCCCTAAAATACCCTTATTAACTAATTAACGTATAACTTCTTACTAACTAGTACCTAACACTCATCCAGCCAATATGAATGCTTTAATATCCTCCTTGAAGAATGAGGATTAAGGACATGAACTTAAGACTTTGGGTTGGATCCACCAGGCTTTTTCACCTTCTTTCCCAAACAAGAAAAGGCTTTCCTTTACTTCTATACTATATCGTTTTAAATAATAAAAGGTCTTAATCACGCACGATTCAGTGGAACAGTGTAATAAAATATTGGGCTAATACCACTAGAAAACCCGAACTATTAAGAATGTGTCATTTGTGTCCTAAAGTATTTGATATGACATTTGTGTCCTAAACTATTTTTCTGATAGAGTTGACTAGGTTGACCGTTAGTTTTTAACAGAAAATATCAATCTCTCAATACAAATTATCCATATATAAAACACCATTCTAGAAAATTTAAGCAAATTACAAATTAACTATACAAATTGTTCAACACCAATATAGAAAACTCAAGAAAATTGAAGCAAATCACAAATTATCCCTAAATAATATGTTTAATTGAAAGCTTCTTTCTTTCAATTAAGTTTCTTTACTCTCCACTCCATAAAATCAACTTCATTCTACACAATTAAAAAGAAAAAATTAGACATGTCTCCACAAACATAAATAAGAATAGTTGTTTAGAATATTAAATATACCGAAAAAATTAATTATATGGGTGGGCGGGCACCCACGGGCCGGGTTTACCTAAACCCAACCCAACCCGATGAATAGTGAACGGGTTTAAACCCAAACCCGGCCCAAAACCCGTCAACACGGATTTTACCCGTGTTGACCGGGTTGGGTCGGATGGGTATCCGTGGGTTCGGGTTTTGTTGCCATCCCTAGCCGTCATTGTCGGCGAAACCTAGAGAACCTGTTCTTGCCATGGGGGTGTGCAATCGACGAAGACCAAAGAGTCGCTCAACTCAACCCCCGCTCTTTCTCACTCTCCCTTCAACCCTCGCTCAGAGAATCCAACAGCGAGACTGCCCATAGAAGTGATGATGTCGACGCGTCCAGCGCCGCGAATAGGAAATCGAAGAGGTGGCCACCAATCTTGACATCGCTGGGGTGCGACGGCTCAGGATCTCAAGCTCCTCGTCGCCAGCCTTCATCTTGCCTTTGCACTGTCCGGCGCAATCGGCGAGCGTGTTGACCAACCGGTCAACGGCGAGAATCGCCTTTCTGAACAAAGAAGCTGGCGGAGGGAGGAGAAGCAGCTTGGGCTGCTCATGGCTGAATCAGTTCACCGCCGTCAGCGTGAAGGTCCTGTTCTTGGCGACGGAGTTTGAGGCTTGGCGAAGGGAGTGAATTTGGGGCGGGAGGTCCTGTTTTTCTCGATCCAACGCTTCTCTGCTCTTCCAGATCTGGGGACCATCAAAATAGGGGACGATTGGAGTTAAGCGAGAATGGAAAATTGTTGTGGTGGTGGTTAGGTGAGCGTCGATGGACTGAAGCTTGGCGGAGGAAGTGAATTTGGGTCGGAGGAGAGGTAGTGCTTATTGCGTCGCGGCAGTGAGATTTTTATTTGAAGGGTTTGCGGTGTAGTTAGAGATTTTTGTTTTTGGTGAGACGGTGGAGTTAGATGATGAGGGTGGGTTTAATTATTGTTTTATATAATATAATTTTTCTTATTTTAATTAATCTTAAATTTATAATAATCTGACGTGGCAATTTATGTGGGTGTTTGATTTTTGTCACATCAACAAAAGTCAACATCATTTTGACCACCATCTGGTCAACCGTTAACTTTAACGGTCAACAAAATCGCCAGGACATAAATGACGCACAATTATAATAGATTGGGACACAAATGTCATATTGCATACTTTAGGACACAAATGACACATTCTTAATAGTTCGATTTTTCTAGTGGTATTAGCCCTAAAATATTATGGCAAAGAGAAAGAAAGAGTGACGCAAGTAACGGTGCAGGGGGATAGAGAGAAATCATAGAACATAACGGGGGACAAGACAATCCACCCAGAGCAGAACTTGACGTATGTATGACGTCGAGTAGTACCCCGTTTCCTCGTTGAGAACAACGTTCCCCCTCCGCACGTCCAATGGCGGCTTCTCTTTTTCATTATTGATTGACGACTTTCCTCTCTTTCGATTTTCCCTGCAGTTTTTCAGAATGCACATTGATTGGTTTTGCTCATTTTTCTTTCGATTGTTCAAAACCCTCATCATGGCTTGGCGGCCGTACGTACCAAGATTGCATTCACAGGACAAGATTTGCGACAAACAATGGTCCCCACCTCCGTTACATAATCACTTGACTCCTTGCTTCCCACTGTAGTTAAGTGCTTTCTTTCTATTGGTTGGCAATGGAAAAATTGCACTATCATTGCTGCTCTTTTCGTCTCTACAATACCATAATTAACATAACATGTCAAGATTATGCTTCCCAAGATAAATAATAACACCAAAAGTAAAGCAAACGGTGAAAAGGAGTTCAGCAAAACTAATTTTAATTTTTACTCCATATATTGAAATCTCCAAATTAGTAGTGGACAATCAGGGCGAAAAGTGAGAACTAAAGCACTCAAATGAAACCAATCAAGAAACTTCCCTGTATCATTTGTTTCTTCACTCACCCAAGCAACCCTCTTGTTCGTTGCTAAACTAACAAAAACAGGACAAACAATACAATGGCAAATGACCTAACAAGGCACAATAATTTGAAGCAAGTCAATCTCTAACAACATATGTTTGCCGGTCTTTGGAGTCAAGCTGTTGTCCGTCTATTGATGTCACTCTGGTGGCTGTGCGTTACTACGGCCCTAATGGAATGCAGCAGTTTCGTCGGCAAAGTGTTGGAGCAAGCTCTCTATGCTCATCACCGAATGATCTGCAATGTCTCTGACCCGCACACTCACCTGCATTACCACACTAGTTCGTTAGGTCGTCGACAGCCAAACAAGCAAATGCCTCACAAGTGACGTTCAGTTCTGAGCTCTCATCATTTATGAATATATATGTAATTTGAGAGCAGCTGGAGTTGAAGAACCACAAAAGTATTAAGTACACCGATCTGGACAGTGGCAGCAGTAGAATTGTACCTGGCCTGTGTTGGCTTCCTCTTCGCCGACAACTAATATGTAGTTGTACTGTGCTAGTTGGGCTTCTCTTACCTGGATCAATCCAAAAAATCAATTTGAGTAAATATATGCATGTACACCTATCTCAATAGGGTAACATGGGATTATAAGCATAGAAGCTGCATGCGAACCTTTTTCTGGATCTTCCTGTCTGTTATATCAGCATCCGCATAATATCCAGCTTGATGAATCCTATCTCGTACCTGTAATTCAAGCCAGAATACGTCATTATCTCTGCTAAGCTTAGGTTGGACGATGGAGAACAGATTAACAAGATGATAAAAACACAGGACAGAGGATCAAACTCCATGTATACTATCGCAAATTTCAAAAGATAGCCCTTGGAAATTTATAATAAGCACTGTAATAGAAGTCTGGGCAAGAGAGAAACTGAGAATGAACAACAGCATATGAAGAGAATCTGTAGCTAACTTGTTTTGCGTAGTCCACCGATTTGGCAGACACGGGACAGACAATTGCTTGACGAGGGCTAAGCCAGAAAGGCCACTTCCCCTTGTAATGCTCCAATAGTATAGCAAACATACGTTCCACAGATCCCAGGATTGCTCTATGTATCATAACTGGCCTTTCTAACTTGGTTTCATCCTCAGCAGAGAACTCCAACTTGAAACGATCTGGAAGCTGGAAGTCAAGCTGCAACCGACATCCATAACCAATCATGAGACTAAATTCAGCAATGCACCTTTGAAGCAAAGAAATCAAAACAGCAGAGGAAAATCATCTCAACCTGTAATGTGGCACACTGGAATTTCCTGTTCAATGCATCAGATACACTAATATCTATCTTAGGACCATAAAAAGCACCATCGCCTTCATTTATCTGTAAGTACAAGAACGTATTCATTAGGATTCAAGAGACCGCTTGAGATCTATTCTTTGGTCTGTGGAGTTGCCCTGCAAAATAACAAGCATCAAATAACATCAGAATATCCCTAACGTGAAGAACAGCACATACCTGCCACGCCTTCCCAAATTCATTCAATGCTTCTGTCAGAGCAGCCTCAGCTTTATCCCATGTTTCTACCTCCCCTAGAAATTGCTCTGGTCTCTGTCATATAGATAAAATTACAACATAAATCATAAGGAGTCACCCCTTAAACCCCTTACAAGCATGTGATTAGTAGATGAAAATATTAGATGCTCTGTGAACGCATCCAACCAATCCACCTCCACTGAAAAGCAATAGAAATCCTAACAAAGAATATAAACTTGCAAAATGGTAGATAGGAAAGAGTGCTGAATATTTCATAGGAATAAAAACGAGCATATGGCCCTGAACATGCATATAGAATAATCTTGATCTCACGGCACATACTGCATATAAAGCAGCATTAAATCTAAAGTGCAGTATATTAAACTCATCTTGCCTCAACTAAGAAACACATGATCAATGAGATCAACCACAAGTATGCCCAGCTAAGAATACTGAACCACATTCATGATAGAGCAAGAAAATTGATTTCTTCCCAAAATTTGAGCAAAATTCTCTCCATATTAGGAATTTTGACTAATCAAAAAGAAATATCATACCGTAGATAGCTTCAGCTCATAAGTGAATCCAAATATTTTATATGCATAATCAATGAAGTCCAGGACACCTCTCACTTCATCTTTTATCTGGAAAAAATGAGACTGTATCATTCAGCATATCTTCACACCTGTACGTACTTCATTATGTAAAGTGTAAACAGAACAGTTGGGCATAAGATTAGAAAAATCACCTGGTCCTCTCTGCAGAAGATATGAGCATCATCCTGTACAGAAAAGAAATGCTTGACTTTAACAACAAAAATGAAAAAGACGTATATACATAAGAGAAATGAGAAACAAAGAAATACTCATCAGAATAGACAGGCCAAAGAACTAGAAAGTTCATCGACAACTATCAATACATCAACAATAACATAAAGAAGTTCTAACCGAAAATGAACTTCTAAATCCGTTAATCAAAGTCTAACGCAACTAGTAATAACAGCTAGTTGCCACTGTAGGCACCCATTTTATTGACTGGCTATGAAACATGTAGTGCCTGGCCCTTATGTCAAACAGTAAAACATTTCTTATAACTACCTGTTGAAACCTTCGGACGCGAGTCAACCCTGTGAGTGCACCACTAGCCTCGTTGCGATGCAGGGCACCAAAATCCGCCATACGGATAGGCAGTTCTGCAAAACCACAATAAATCTAAGAAATCAAAAAATGAGTCCTCAAAAGACAAAGTATAAAGCAAGAATCTCAGAATCATTATCACAGACAACAGACTACATATTGAAGATTCATTGAAGAAGCAAGTGACCCTATGAGGGAATGGCAATAGATGAAACCAAAATCACCTCTGTAAGATCGAACTCTATACTGGAACATCAAACAATGCCCGGGACAATTCATAGGTTTCAGCCCAAATTCTTGCTTTTCAATCTGCAACAAAAGAAATTATCAACTGGAAATCATATCTTTGAGAAGTATGCTATGACTAATTGCATTGAAGTATGAAGCAATGCAATATTTCACAGAAACACATTTTAAACTCTCTTTTTTTCTTGGCAAAACAAATTGGGATCAGTTAAAGCACAACTTTCCGCAACACCCACATGAATTCCTAGATAAACAGCATCCTATCTCTAACCCCCTCAGAGAAATAAGAACATAATGCCTGTTCACAAGAGTCTAGACTAACACTGAGGAAGCCATGTCAACTGAAATGCATACTAAATAAGAGTTGAGTTGCTAATGTACTCACATTAAGAAGAAACATGTTATCCCTGTAATTTGCAGCATGCCCAGATGTCTCCCAGAGTCTCATGTTATACATATTTGGTGTTTTGACCTGCCAATTTTAGTGAAATATGAGCAAGTATTTGTCAACGTGAGCTTACTTGAACATGCTCTAACTACACAGCATACCTCCTCATAACCCCTCTGGATATACTGAGATTTTATGAACCCCATTAGTTTGTTGTAAATCCGTGTCCCATGAGGAAGGAAGAACCAACTTCCAGGGCTGAGAAACCACCGAACATGAAACAAAATGACATTTTGATATGATCGATGAAAATAAATCCATAAAGGGAAAACTGTGCTCTACCTCAATGGATGACAAAAGAAAAGTTCCTGCTTTGTCCCCAACAATCTGTGGTCATACTTCTTTGCTTCTTCCAGGTTTTTAAGATACTCCTGGTAGAAAAGATGGCATTCAAGAATTAGAATAATTGTTAAACCCAACCAGCAGGACATTGTACAATGATGCAATGGCACCAAATACCCATTAACAGAAGTCAAAAGGAAGAAAAAAAATACCTTCAGACGCTTCTGGTCAGGGTATGATATTCCATAGACCCTCTGCAAACTTTCACGGTCTTTGTTCCCCCTCCAGTAGGCAGAAGAAGCCTGCACAAATTCCAAACATTAAGACCATACCTCCCTGTTACGCAGATCAGGAACACAGCTGTATATAAGTAACAGGAGAATGCATCACAGGAGCCTCATAGGTACAGCAGCCTTTAGTTAAGAAGTCACCTTCAAGCATGCAAATGCCTTTACAAAGGATGTGTTTGGGATATGGGGACCACGGCACAGATCCACCAGCGGACCACATCTGTACACTGTAATAGTTTTGTCTGAAGGCAGGTCATTTATGATTTCAACCTAATTATTTAAAGACACCCAAAAAAGTGAATAAGCAAACACATGAACAGTCCCATGGTGAGAAAAACCTTAACCACCATATTGTAAAATTACCTTAAAGTTGTTATCAGAGAAAATCTCAAGGGCCTCATCCCTGGTAACTTCAATGCGCTCAAAATCTTGTCCTTCCTAGAAAGAACTGGACGTCAGGCACTTGACTAATTTTCAGTGAATGATAATCAATATACAAGTACAAATGTGGAAGTGGATTGGCATAACTGATACAAGATCTGACAGAGTGTTTGTCAAGGGGACAGAACACGATTATGGTAAATCAAGTTTTAGAAGAAACATGCTGAACAGGTAGTTTCAGCATTAACAAAAGAAATTTGAGAGAGCTAACTGGTCTAGACAAACAGGAACATCGTTGGATAAATGTGATGACGCAGCTAAACCCAGAGAATAGATAACAACTATGCGAATAAAATTAGGAGAGTACCTTGACAGCTTTTGAGGCTGCAGCTTCAATTTGCTTGAAGTGTTCATCATTTAAACCTAATTCCCCATAGAACGCATCATAGTAGAATCCCTACAGCACCATGGTACACGCATAAGGAAGGTGACTCTGCTTGAACCAAAGTCACATAAACAGACTCACCGGGGGAGAGAGAGATGATTGAAAGAAACAGTAAGGTACAGAAGGAACTACTTTAGCCTAGAGCATACCTCCCCTCTGGTGGTACAAGGTCCAATGCAAAGCTTGCAACCATATGTTTGTTCCAGTGACTGCCAAAATCAAGAAGAACATCAGGTAACCAAAAAATCAAAATTTGGCATCTATACCTTGGCACCACTAAGCTGACATAGAATTACAGAACGATGAAAATTCTGAAACCCGACAATACTCATACCACCATTACCCAGTATGCTTTCTATCATACTAAACTATCTACTAGTAGCCAGGCATTGCCACAATGAATATACATTTGCCATGAGTAAGAAGATCCCCCTCCGCTCCCACCCCCCTCCCCCCCCCCCCCCCCCCCAAAAAAAAAAATACTCATCCATCAAGGGACAGAACTATCTAAGCTGTAGTTCTCTTCGAGGCTTAAGTGGGACACTTTCTAAACTTATTTTGTTTCACACTCTTTCTAATCTTGTATGGCATTTACCTTCAAAAGAAAAGTAAAGGGTTTGGTATCCATGTCCAGTATTAAGGAATCTAATTAATAAGAAACTGTTTTTACTATAACCAGCTCTCGAGTCGCCCATTTAAGTATTTAACAACACACTCTCATCTTCTTTTCTTGTAGAGGACAGTTGAAATATTATATGAACATTTATACACCTTGCCTAACTAAAGGCCGCGTTTCCACCAGAAGAATACATACTGGAATGGTGAAGCCATTCGGTTTCAACTGTAAACCTAAAACTTTTCCAGATAAGGAAGTGCATTTCAACAGAAGCACCTCAATAGGGGTTGAACAAAAGCTAAATGTCAAATCCACCCATCTAAATCAAACATTGTCAGTCTAAGATAATTAAGTAATTAACTAACCTCGCCAAGAATGTGAGCGCTAGAGTGCCAAAAAGTATCACGCCCTTCATCACTATCGAAAGTAAACAATTTCAACTCGCAATCGCCTTCCAATGGCCTCTTCATATCCCACAATACTCCATTAACTTGAGAGATCAGCGCATTAGATGCCAAACTCTTGGAAATCTCCTTTGCAATGTCCAGCGGACTGGATGACCATCTCTTGCCTTCCTTCACTGTTCCATCCGGCAAAGTAACCCTAACAAGTAGAAAAATCCAGAACTAGGGTCAAACTCAGAACCACAAACAAAAGAAAAGAAAAGCAATCAAAACCTAACGCTCTTCAACTTTCCGCCCCACAATGTTTACCTGATAGGGTCATGAGGGAGGGAATCGAGATGGGACTTCTGCTGCGACTGGATCGCTTGGAAGCGCAGACATAACTACTTTACGATGATAAATGGATATTCTGGTATTTGTGGAGTTACCGTTTTATTAGAATTTAAATTACCGTAAAATAATGGTTAATACGATATTTTTGAGATTTTATTGTCTAAATTGCTATTTAAAATGGTAAAAACGACCTTAATACGATATTTATGATGATTTTAATGAAGGAAATTGAATGAAGAATTAAAAGTAATTTTAACCGCAGACCGGGTTATTTATGATTATTTTGCAACGAGGTTGTTTCGTGGAGTTATGTAATGAATTTTGGATGAGAAATTATGATTTGGAACTGTTGAGTATTGTTACTAAAGGGTGATGATGATTTATGTGCTTTGAGGTTGGATGATGGATTGGATTTTGAGAATGTCGAGTTGATAACCGACATGAGACGTATGGATTGGGAATCAGTGGGATGACATTGGTTCCTGGATTGATTGAGATGATGATGAGTTGATGAGATGAGAAACATGAGATCCATTTGAATTGGGAACTCAATGGGAAGGCATTGATTCCTGAATTGGTTTGATGAAATGTTTGACGTGAGATATGCATGGACCAGTTAATCAGTGGGACTGCACTGATTCTGGATCGATTATGCATGGACCGGTTAATTAGTGGGACTTCATTGATTCCGGATCGCTTGTAATGGATGAGGGAAATGAAATTGTTTGATTCGTGATCATATTAATTCACATAGACGTAGAAAGGGCCTGCACTTTTACCCCTAGATGATTATGGGTTTGGGTAGATCTAGCTCGCATCTGCGCGTATTGTGGTTGCATGAGCACCACGGATTAGGGCTGGGAATACGGTACCAGTTTTTCGGTCAAACCGGAAACTGGGCAGTTTAAACCGTCCCGGTCACAACCGGAAACCGAATACAACCCGGTTTGGTCCGAATTCCGGTTGCTGATATTAGGGGAAAAACCGTACCAGTTGTACTCCGGTTAAAACCGGAAAAAACCGAGAAACCGACCCTTCTCTTTCCAGCCCAGCCCAACGCCCCTGCCCAACGCCCAACTCCCAATCCCAACCCTAAAGCCCTCTCAACTGTCATCAGTCATCACATCCTAACCCAAAAGCCCAGTTACCAAATCCCAACCCGTAAAACCCTAATCGCCCAGCCCAACACCATCCTTCCTCGCAACCTCACCACACCGCCGCGTCACCACTCTCTCTCTCTCTCTCTCTCTCTCTCTCTCTCTCTCTTTGCTCTCTGCTATCGAAGAAGAAGACGAATACATCGCCGCACAGACGTCAAAGCACCGCCGACTCACCTCTCTTCCCCGGCGACAGCGTGATACCCCCTTCTGGCCGAGCCGCCGAGGTCTAGTTGCTGCTCGACGGCGATGACAATGAAAACCGCCTCTGATCTGCACCCTCTGTCTCGATCTCCTCCAGATCGGAACATGCAACAACATCTACGAAGAAACAAGTGAAAGGGGAGAGAAACGGAGAGGGAAGACACAACGACGTGGAAGACGCGGAGTGGCGATGGCAACGACGAGGCAGACGCGGGGATGGTGGCGATGGTTGCGTCGGCAGGAGAGACCGGGGTGAACTCCGTCAGTGGCGCTCTTCGAAGTAGGAGGGGATAGAAAGAAAGACGAAGGGAGAGAGAACGAGAATTGGCAATTTGGGGTTCGGGTCCTTGGGATGCTGCTGACGTTTTCAAATTCTGGGAGAAAAGGAATGGAAACGGTGGCGTTTAGGGAGAAGGGAGGGTTTCCAATTTTTGGTTGAAACCGGATCGGACCGAATTCAATCCAGTCCGATCACGGTTGAAACCGGATTCCTATTCAATCTAATTTCCAGTTGCTGCTTTGGCCAAAACGGTTTCAAAAAACCTGGTTAATCCGGTCCGGTTTTAACCGGACCAAACCATTTTCCACCCCTACCACGGATGATGATTTGCTCGAGCGGGGGTAAGTGTATGGTGACCTTGGCGCCATTAATAATTAACCGGAATTTTCATATCATGCATTGATTATGTGTTCATGAAATTATGTGATTATCTTATTGGATAAATTTATTTGGTGATGATGAGTTGGTGGATTCGATATATTGATCGATAATTTATATATGGTGATTTAAGATGGCATCTAGAGTACTAAATTATGATTGATTATGACTGTTTGATTAGCTGATTGCGGTCCCAAAATTAGGTCGTGGGAAAGATCCACACACACAACTTAGTTGCTGACCCACTTCTGTTCAGTTTCTTACAGGTTCGAATTAATTGAGAGAAACTCTAGCCCTGCACAATGATCGATTGAGGATTGGTTTTGAAGTTCTCCCAGATTTTGAAATGACTCTCATTTATGTTTGATGAGTCGATGATTCGGGTATTGCCTAGTAGATGGTACCATAATGAGCATACTAGTGAATGACACTCTGATTTGGTTTACATGAAATGAATGAACTAGATCGAGTTGATCTTTGGTATATGATGAGTAATTCGGGAATTGATTGTTGTAATTTTGGATTAAAAAGATGTTGATATGTATGTTACCAGTGGTAAAACAGTTGAGTTTTTGAGTAACCCTCGATAGAGATTCCGCTGTGCGGGTGAACCATTGGTTCAACCCATGAATTTTAGGGTGGGGTGTTACAATCTCGTTCTAAACAACTCTCAATTTCATGAAGCAACAAACTTGTGAACCGAACTCAGGTTTGTATTCAATTTAATTAACTCTAACGATTACAATGCAATTGAAGGCTTTAAATAGAACTAGGCTAGCTAAACAAACTAATACGCAATTCCAATACATAAACAAACACAGAATTATAATGCAAATAGAACAAGGTTAAAAGAAATCCTAATCCCCAAAGGAAATGGATTGTTCGAAGACTTCCAATCTTCATTTCAGTCATCCAATGCCTCTAGGTTGTATTAGAAAACCTCTATTTTCATGTGGTATCGCCCTCTTAGAGTAATTCCCATCCATCTTCCTCGAATCAATCTTTAAAGTTGGGTACTCAAACTGGTTCCGACACTTAGCCAATTTCTGGCAGAATTCCAATTTGAAAGGGCATTTTGAGAGACTCCAAATATGACCCTCCTGGCTTCATCTTGAGCATCCAGACCTACCAACTTGTATAGGAGCATCCCATAATTCAAACAAGCCCTTGAAACCGTTTTTCATTGAGCCATATGTGACGACCAAGCTTGCAAAGTGGGTTACTTGAAACCGTAAAAACACTTAGCCAAAATTCATAGTTATTCAAATGAGATAAGTTGGATTCTTTTTCAATCAATTGGGAACTAGGGATTGATCCAAAAGGGGTCATATCACAGATGGGGGTAAATGCATTGGGAATGACATTTACCCCCAAACTTTGCACCCCTAGCCAAACATAGTGTAAGTAAACAACATGCTTATATTATAGGGTTGTGGAAAATGTTTGGGCCTAACCAAGGTCATTCAGGGGTGGTTTGGATTAGGGATTGGGTGGTTTTCTGCCACAATTCCAAGGAATGGTAGATTTGTTGAATTGTTGTTTGGGGATGACAATTTTGATCTTTATCTTTCTTATTCGAATTGTTTTGAGACAGAGATAATACTCGTCTTATGGGTGTGGGCGTGTGTTGGGGCGGGCATGAGTACTCTTCTCGATGTAAACCATCTGGAGTCGCCCCATACTCGACTCGTTTTTGCTTAAATTACATGTAATTTTGCTCAAATTATTTATAATTTTTTATTCGGGCCTAAATGTACACTTTTTATCCCCGTTTCTCTTTGGCGTTTGCGGCATTTGAGCTCCATAAAGGGTGATTTTACGCTAGGTTTGTTGTGTTTCAATGTGTTTCAGAGTCTAACAGGTGGAACCAACCCCGGAGTCGAAAGTTGAAAGAAATAGCGCGAGGACCGGGCAAAGAGGAGGAAACAACTGATGTTCACAGTCCAAGCTGTGAGTTCACGATCGCCAGGATCGTGAACTGAAGCCACAAATCGCGAACTGAAGGGCGTCCAAAGAGGTTTCGAAAGTTACTGACGCCGAGTCAGTTCACGATCGTAAGACCGTGAGCTGAAGCTATGGACCGCGAACTCAACAAATGAAAGCGGTGCGTTTTGGCTGTGTTCACGGTCGTGAACTGGGACCGCGAACTGGGCTTGATTAGTGTATAAAAGGAGAGCTGAAAGGAAGAAGAGAAGGGGAGCCCAAAGTGAGAGAAACCTTCTTCTTCTTGAAACCCTAGAGAGAGAAAGTCACTAACCAAGAGGGAGAAGAGGCTAGGGTTTGCTCCAAGTTAAGAATGGGGAAGTTCCTCTTCAAGGGAGGATCTCTACAAGCACAAAGAAGGATTGAGGCATCACAATGATGGTATTTTTCTTTTTTCCTTTGTGTTCTTCCTTCTTCTAGCATGGAGTAGTCTCCTATTGACTTGGGTGTTGTAGAACCCTAACTTCTACCATGTAGTTGATTGTGTGGATTGAATGATTGTGTGTGAGTGATGTTTAATTTAAAGTTTTGAGGTATTGTTCATGATGATTGTTCATTTTGGGTGCTTGGCAATCTATTGTGCTACCCTAACCTAGCTTAGAGAGAAGTCCCCTTTCCTTAAGATGCTCAAATTGAGTTGGGTTTTCTTACGCATTCCATGCCTCTTAACTAGGTTAATGTAAGACAAACCCCTAAACTCAAGTTAGACATCTAGGTTAATTGTGATTAAGCCGTCCAAACCCTGGTTTGAGGGAGAAGGTAAGTCAACCCTCTTTTGCTTGGGTCGAGAGGGCTACTTGCGTAGCCTATGCATTCCTTGGCCTAGCGATTGAGAGTGTGGTTTCCAACCATTGTTGCTCCTCCTACGGTTCGCTATCGCCTTGTCGCACACCAATGCATTCGATCCCACAGTTCATGGTAGTTAGTTAGGGAAAAACAACTCCCGAGTGAAGCTTCTCACCAATAGTTTCAACCCTTTTACTTTTCAATCCTTGCACTTTAATTTGTAGATTGTAGAGATTCGTACAAACTTCATTCCGCTAGATAATGTTTCAAACGATTGAAGTAGGGGCACATGGACCGACTCGGGTTGATATTTAAACATACTTGCCCTATATTGCACCCATTTAATGTTTATACTTGGGCCTTATATGAGATTTAAGTGTGATATTCGGAGCGAGTCAATTTTAATTTCATGACCTAGTATTTTAGCTATAATAAAGTTGTAAATAGATAAGAACCTCAATTTCTCAAATAATTTAACAACATTTATCATATTATAGTTTGTTTCTTCATTTTTATAATAAAAATTCATATTTCTAATAATTCTCCTTTAATTTAAACTACTCATATGAGTCTAGCTACATTGACTCTACCGCATGAGAAATTACTCTACCTAAACCGGACCACCCACGAATGGAGATAGATATTGAGATACATGTACATACCTGTCCCTTTTCATTCCTAATTGCCACGTTTGAGAAGGGGGTTTCAGATGAAGAACGATTCCAAAAGATGCAACCAACCTATTCAATATTTTAATCATTGAAGAACCTTTGCAAAGAAAACTAGCTACGGCAAGCTACGAATATAAATCACTATGCAAACACGAATAGGTCAATAACATTAGGATATATTTTGAAGATACTATTGCCTCAAATATGAACGATACCTATTAATTTGTATTTTCAAATCGAGCAATGCATAAAAAAAATGTGATAGTTGATCGAAAAATAACAAATATGATTATATTTTTGGGATCATTGTTATTTTTAAATCAAGAGTATGTCCAAAAAATATGTGGACTGGCCAGATATTGCAAGTACATGGAACTAATATAGGCACAACCGTTCCAAAGTATGGCTCTTAGGAAACAGTAACCTTGATCTTGATTTATATATATTAATTATCTCAACCTGTATTGGTGTATATGAAAGGGCGGAGGCAGGGGTATTGGGATGTCCAGGCACACCCCTAATATTTGGAAAAACTATTATCCAATCCCGTTAGTAATTTGTGTATGGATAAAAAATATATTTATAAGTGATAGACTAGGTGATTTGAACATATAACACAACTAATATTAGTAAACATGTTTTCTAACATGCTAAACTCATTTGTTGTTGTATTTTAACACAAATTTAATAAAAAATGTTATTTCTTTCCACAATTATTTTCAAAATCTAACAATTAAAATTCAATTATGGACTATCCTTATTCCCACCAGTCTATCATATCCATGGGTTTACTTGTTTCTCAAATTTATTTGATACGAGCATGGTTCTGGCGCTCGTGGTTATCAAAGTAACACAGCCTCAAGAACGAACAATGAAAGAGATTTTTAGGATTTTTGTTTTGGGATAAAGTGGAATTGAAAGTGCAATCTCAACACAAGATGGGAGAAGGCTCAATCAATATAGGGGTAGAAGCTCGACCACAATCAAGGAGAATACCTGATTGATACAGAGACAACACTTTATTCTATGGAATCCACCAATAACACAAAGTAAAATTCACAAGCCAAAAGCTCCACGAAGCAAAAAGGGGTTTTTTCCATGTAATCTAAATTTTGTATTTACAACCCTTTTTATAGGTCTGGAAAAATAAAACTCATAAAAATACAGA